CCCCAAAACCCCAAAACCCCAAAACCCCAAAACCCCTTCATTTATAAGTTTTATTGATATTAATAATTCACACTTGTTCCAATAGTTAAGGAAGCCCTGCTATTAGAATTGATTTGTACTCAGTTGAAGGGCTCCACTCTCTTTTGAGGAATTCGTACCTGCTTATTGTACTCTTCTTCTGAGGTTGTAGATGAGCAAATCTGGAATTTTTCAAGGAATTATACATTAAAGGAGCTATAATACAAAAATGATCAACTAAAAGTCTCAAAGTTAATACACCAGAAATTATAAACAAGATCGTTTCTCACGTTTTAAGTGCTCTCTGACATTGAGCTTATCTAATGAACTGCTGGTCATTTTCTAACCGTCATTACAAATCAGTACCTTAACTTTTGCTCCACTATTTGTTGTCTTTTTCTCAAGGTCTCTATTAAAAATAACAGAAATTATACTTTTTCCTTAAATTTGCTGTATTTCTGGACAACCTGAGAGGAGGTCTCACTAGCTTCAACTTCGTATGCTTCTGTTCTGGTATCCCATAGCCTGACTGTGAGGCCTTAAGGGTCTTCTTGCTTATATTATTAAGCACTTTTAATTTCTTGAATGCTTTCTCATGACGTTCTTTTCTGTAGAAACCATTATAAAACCTGACATAAAAGGGTGGCTGAAAAACCTGAAATTATTACTTTTCCTTATTTCTGTTGTGTAATTAGAGCTTTTAGAGATTGAAGGATAACTGTCTGCTGGCCCTTAAATTTAAACTCCGTATGTTTCAACTTGAGCGGGACTTTACACCCTTTGTGTATGATAGGAGTGGAGACCTCACTCTTATGACTCTGGCTTAATTTTGGCTTCTTCTTTGCACCAAATCTTGATTTGAAGTATTTATTTCTCAGATTTCTTCCTGTGCAGCGGGGGTTTACTATATTATGCCTCAGGGTTTATTTTAGTAAAGTTTCCCATGAAACTTGCTCGAATGAGTATTATACAATCTAGGCAAACCAGAAATGGTGATTCCTTAGATGACAAGTTTTAAAGGAAATTTTTGGTTTACTCTATCCTAGGAGGCAGCTTAATCTTGAATCTGTCTGAAGATAGATTTTCAAAGTCTATATGGGCTCATTTGTGTTATTACCGAAGCGCCCTAATTTGTTAGAGCGATATGAGGTAGTGTTAGATTTGTTCCTTTGACCTAGAAAGGGAGTTAATTTGGGATTTTAGAAAATTTAAGAAAATTTTGAATTTGTGGTCTATTTAGCTTACTTGATCTGTTTGAAGAGTCACAGTCTCGAAGTCAATCAATGTCTCTGTTCATGGGAGACCCGATGTTTTGGTCAAAGTACTTAGAAATACTTGATTGCATACCTATTGAGAATTAAAACATTTTCCAAGGCAAGAAAGGATATTTCACGAAAAATACAAGAAATAAAAAAGAAAATGGTGATAGATTCCTCAAATATGGCATTTATGATGATCGAAGAGATAGTTACCTCAGGTAAAATCTTCCATGTTGAATTATATTATTGTTAAAGTTCTCAATATTATTGAAGCTAAATGGGGTTTTGGGGTTTTGGGGTTTTGGGGG